CACCGGCGAGAGGACGCTGGCGGTGGTTACCAAATGTGATAAAGCTCCTGAAGGTCTGCTCGAGAAGGTTACTTCCGACGATGTGAACATTGGGCTTGGCTACGTCTGTGTGAGGAATCGCATCAAGGACGAGTCCTACCAGGAGGCCAGGGCTGAGGAGGCGAGACTGTTTCAGTCGGATCCCCTTCTCTCGCAGATCGACAAATCCATCGTGGGCATACCTGTTTTGGCCAGGAGACTGGTGCAAATCCAAGCTGCTAGTCTCGCGAGATGCTTGCCGGACATCGTGAAGAGCATCAACGACAAGCTCAACCTCAACGTTTCTGAGCTCAACAAATTGCCCCAGCATCTATCCTCCCCGGCGGAAGCCATGACTGCTTTCATGCGGATTCTTGGGTCTGCAAAGGAATCCCTCAAGAAAATCCTCGTGAGAGGGGAGTTTGACGAGTACCCAGATGACAAATTCATGCACTGCACCGCCCGACTGTCGGACAAGCTCAACGAGTACTCCAAGGAGCTCAATATGAAGCAAGAGGACTCCAAGGAGAAGTTTTTAATGGAGGAAATCCTATTGCTGGAGGAATCCAAAGGGATTGAACTTCCCAATTTCCTCCCTCGCACCGCTTTCCTCGCTATATTACAGAGAAAAGTGAAGGAAGTATCGATCACTCCCATCAAATTCGTTCAAGAGGTGTGGAATTACGTAGAGGAGGTGGTCGTACGCGTGCTGATGAAACATTCAGAGAGCTACCCACAGCTTCAATCTTGCACCAGAAGAGCAGCGCAGAATCTGATTGGCAAGATGAAGGACCAATCGATTAACCGAGTAACAGAGATCGTGGAAATGGAGAAGATAACGGATTATACATGCAACCCAGATTACATGTCAACTTGGCGAGGGCTCATGGCGAAACAAGAGATCTTCATGAAGAGCTTCAACGATCCCTWCCAATGTTCCTCTGTAAACATTGAAGGGTTGGGGACTGTTGAACTGCAGCATCTAAGAGAATATGGGGGGATGGTGCAACAAGCGTACGACCTGAGAATGAGGATCAGAGCTTACTGGACGATTGTGTTGCAGAGGCTGGTGGATAGTCTGGCGCTTCATCTGCTGTTCAGTGTGCAGAACTTGGTGAACAGAGAGATGGAAAAGGAGATTGTGATGGAGCTGATGGGGCCCYACAGTGGTGGGGTCGAACGGTTGCTTGAGGAATCCCCTTCTGTGGCTCAGAAGCGAGACCGGCTCAACAAGAGCGTCAAGCTACTCAAAGAATCCAAGGAGGTCGTGGCCAAGATCATGGACCGAATTGCTGCTCCCATCAACAACTCCACTGATTAGGTCCACAGGCCCAGGCCCATCTCTCTCTCTC